AAGCAGTAGGCGAGTACGAAGCCAGCTGAATGTCTGAAAACTTCATAGATTCATGGTACTTTCATGTTTGTTGTTTGTGCATTGGTCGATTTGAAAACTCCCATGGCGAGTAGCCCGTTGCAACCCCAGCACGTCCAAAGCCAGAGCTGAAAGGAAGAGGGAGTGCCGTGTTCATGACAATTGGCATCGAGGGCTGAATCGGCTGTGAGCAATAGTCTGGTGGCAGGCCGGCAGCTGCTGGACATAGTCAAAGGCAAAGCCGCCAGTGATGAAGGCGGGGCATTGCTTGGAGTTGTTGCTTTGAACACGTCAGGCTTGTGGCCTCGCCTTTCCTTTTGAAAATGCCGCCAGCTTGCCCACGGGAGGATTTCTAACCTCCTTCAAGTGCCGACCGCCGCATCTTTTTGCAGAAGCACTGCCGCGGGGCGTACCCGATGTGCTGAGCCCAGCAGTTCAAGAGCAGCTCGTGCATTGCGTCCAGCTGGTGGGGGAAAGCTTAAACGTCTATGACTTGAAGCGCGAGAAGGGCTTGCCTCATCACCGGCTTGCCGCCTACTGCAACGTCAGCACATTTGTGTCAAGCCACTCAGCTACAAACCTTTGGCATCTACCTAGGGGTCGGATGTCCATGACACGATATTCAACATGCTCATGCACATGCATGTGGACATGTCGGCATAGTTCTTCTGTGTTGCGGAAGGCTGCAGCATCAGCACCGTAAAGCCGAAGCTGATGCGCACGCATCAAACATGAAGAGCCTTATTTCAAGGAACGCTGGTTCCAGGTGGGCTCGTCACCATTGTCAAATCCTTACCGCTCAACATGTGTCGCTAAGCGCACCGCGAACAGCAATGTTAGCCTTCGCCATGGAAGCACTGGCACGGGTGATGTTCATGTCCTCAAAGATGCCGTGACATGTTCATAATTTTGGTGGACGTGAAGTGCTTGAGTTTGCGTTTGAGTGTCTTTTTGTGTTTGTGTGTGTGCGTGTTCTCCCGATGCTTTCTTTCATGTTGCATCCAGTGTCCACAATGGCTGTCTAGCTTTCTCGTGCTTGGGCTTGAGCTTGTGCCCTGAGGCTTCCATGACGGCATCTCTGGCTCCAAGGATCGAGTCCTAGCGTGTCCGGAGGCGCCCCGTTTGCCATGCCAGCAAGCTTTGTGTGTGCGTTTGTGCGAGCGTTCGTTTCGTGAAACGATTGCCATTGCACGTCTCAAATAATTCGATTGTTTGACTATTGGTGGATGGAGCTGAGAGCCGCTGAGAGCCTTCGACTTTCTTTCCAGCTCCACACCTGAAAATGATCAGTGGCAGATATTCAACCTGGAACTTGCACTCAGAGAATGTTTGCGCAGAAAGATTGCACAAACCAACTTGCTCAGACAACTTGCACACAGACAAACTTGCACAGAAAGAATTGCGTGGAGAACTCGCACAGAGAAAGCAGAGGAACTTGCGCAGAAACTTATGCACTTGCACAGAAGAAATGCTCGAGGACTTTCACGCAGAACTTGTACCAATAAACTTGCAGCGCGCTTCGAAACTTGCTCAAAGAGGCATGACACCGAGAATCTCGAAAATTACATAGAGAACTTGCGCAGAAAAGGTTGCGGAGAGTAATTTGTACAGTCGGCTACAGTCGGCTTGTGCCAAGAAACTTGCACAGAGAACTTGCTCGACAGAGCTTGTCCAGAGAACTTGCTCACAGAACTTGAATAGAGCATATTGCGCGCAGAAACTTGCTTTCTGGATTAAGATTAGATTCTATGGCGACGGTGTGGGACTGTCGCGACATCAGGCGGCCGATGTGAGAAATCCCAATAGGGTTTTGCAACTTTCACGGCGGCGTGCACTCGCCTCTGCGGGTCAATGTGCAGCTTTTCCGCTGGTTCATCAATCAACTGAATTTGTCATATGTCTCGCCAAGCATTGGCCCAGTCAGCCCGGTTTGGCAGCCGCTGTTCTGCAGGCAAATCTTCGTATGAGGGGAATCACCGAACATTTGACTGATCCTTCCTTCCCAGCTCCTCCCGCGTTTGCTGTTAAGTCCTTAATTATCTATCGAAGGCGAGCTGTCAGCCTGATCCTCGCCGCACTGCACCCGAGGAGACGTGCCCCAAGCTCTGGGCCGTGAGTTCTGCGGTGGCCAAGTCATCGGCAAAGGCGCTGGTACTCACCGCCCGCGCCTGCGGGTTCCGAGTAGTGCTCGAGTTGCTGCGCCGCAAGGCGCGGCGAAAACGCGCGCCGATGGGTCTTGGCCCGCGGAGCAAGTAAAGCATGGACGGAAATGTTGTGGACTGGGATGGCAGGGAGGCGGTTGGGGATATGGATGGGCTCTTGGAGGTTCTGTCACAGTGGGCGAGAGCATGCGAGAGTGCTTCAAAACATTTTACGACACTTTTCCCAGACGGACTTGCGAAAGCCTTTTTTGATTCAGGTGATGTTGGATGCTCCCTTCAAGTGCAGCTTCTGCATTTGTGGGTGGATCCCAACAATGGTTGAGCCTCAGTGCGCGTTCCAGGGGCCCAAAGCATGAAAGACGCAACTCCCGCGTTTGTGCAGACAAGGTGGTCCGATCCAGTTAGGCAGCGGTTTCTTCAGGGATGAAGGCATTGAGGTGACATTCTTTACATGTTGCGTACGCAGTTGACTGACAGGCCCACAACCGCGTAGGCAGTTCTCGGAGGCTCATGTTGTGAAGGTAGGCCCTCGCATAGGCAACAATTTGGTTGGTTGACTTGTATGTGGGATGTTCCTTCGTGAAGGGGTGAAATGCAAAGCATTGTTGTCGGGTTTGTCCGCCATTTCCCAAATTCAACAAGGTCAGGCAGATTTCGCGTAAGCTTCGCATAGGCATGACGTCCAAGAGCCAACCGGGAGGGGGGGGGGGCTTTCCGGGCTCGTCCTTCTAGGCCCTCGGAGCTGCCAAACTGTACTTTGAGTAGCGCACGTATACTCCAAATATGCAATTTTCGAGCTGGCGCTAAGATGTACCTCTACTCCACCTGTACTGACAGGTCCTTTGTCGTGTCGGCCGCGCAGAAAGGCGTCAACTTGCTCTCACGCGCACGTAGGCGTTGTGGGTGTGGTCGATTCTGGCGCGTAAGAATAACAAGGGGGCACACAGAGCCAAACAAAAACACTGCCCAGTTGAAGACACGTGGCTGCCCAATTAAAGGCTAGGTGCTCTCAAATCCACAGATAGAATCCGCTGTTCCTCTGCAGGCCCGCGAGGCCGAGCCGCCCTTCCAGGCGCCTTCTTTCCGCTGTCCGCTGTCTGTCTGCGGAAAACCAGCAGACATCATGGGACCCAATTGGGGGGTTGATCAAAGGGCCCTTCACGCGGGATGGCCGTTGGACGGAAAACCGCTAAAAGGATATTCGACATGTCCAACAAATTAGCCATCCTGTTTGGGGGCCCATGGAAGATTGAGCAACCCATGACTTGAGGTGGCAACCATGAACGAGCTCTCCAGCTTCAACCACATCTCCAACGCCCAGGGCAGCTGCTACCGCGTGCTGGTGGCCAATGCTGCGGAGTGCTCTGAGGGCATCAGCGCCCTGGACGGGACTCGGCGGGGCTCGGCGCTCGATTTAAGTGGGGAAGCTCGGAATCGACCCCTAGCCTTGGTGGCTCCCAGCCATCTCCTTAGCCTTTTAGCCTTTTAGGGTTTAGTGGGGTTTTCCATTTAGCCCACTACACTTAGCAGGGGATTTGAACAGCGTAGTAGCGACTTGCTTTAGTTGGATGTTGAGCTGCGCAGAAGCGCATCATGGTGGGGAGGCAGCTGCCAAGATCGCCTTCGCATTCAATTGGCGAAGGGTGCTTCCCTTGAATGTGTCAACACAGCCTTAGCAAGCCTTGATTGTATTTCCCATCACGTGGGGCAAAATTAGAGGACCAACTACATGTGTGTTTCCAAGTGTTCGGTTCACTGCACCAAGTCGTCTTCGTGCGCATGTCAAGCTTAGTCCATCCCACAAGTCAAATGGTCTATCTTCGCATGGCATCAGCAACACAGATGGTTGCTGCCATTTGTGATGCAACCTGTGAGGCTTTTTGGCGGTTCGGCACGTGTACCTCACGGAAGTGCCCCGGTCCCATGGCCGCTTCATCCAGATCTGCGGTAGGGCGCTGAGGATGTTCGGGCACCACTGCCTGCCGCAGGCGATTTGCCGAAACATGCATCAACTCCCATGAACGCCCACCATCAAATGCAAGATTTCATGGCAACTGTGCGAGCTCCTTAGTTTCTTAAATGTGAGTATGTTGTGTGAGTTGTCCTTTTAACTTTTCATTGGGCATCCTATGACGTGAACAGGTTGTGATTTGTTCCTAGGGTGCAGGGCAGCGCGCAGACAGCATGGAATGGGGTGTGCTGTTGGAACGTGGTACTTGAGAGCTTGCTCGCAAGCGGTTCCTGGGCACATCAAGGTTCGGACAGGAAAGGGTGTTTTGTCCACACACAAGGCGGAGAGGTCTGTGACGTACCATTTATTCCTGGCCACGCTCCCTTCGTGGATTTGCACGCCACTGGCTGCCTGGGCATTCCGAGCTCAGCCACGTCGCGGGCAGCAGATCTGCACAAGAGCTTTTTTGGTTGACTCATTCTTACTATTGCCCTTTTAACTACCAATTGATGTTGTTCCTATCCATGGTCCATGTGTACGGATACATTGCGCACATTGACTTTCGCTCATTTGTGAGCTCAACGCTTGGAAGAACCTGTGCACATTCGCAGAAAAACAACATTGAGCGTTTTGAGGTAGGAAGTTCCAGAGAAGGAGTTGCAGGTCCTGAGCCTATGGCTGAGGTACCGGGCTGGGCACAGCACGGAAGAGTGGGCCCGGGAGCTTTTCAGGAAGCTGCAGAAGCGCAATGTTGCCACGCTGGAGGACAGTCTTTGTTGCCTGAATTGGGGCGTTGAACCTGGACTTCATCCGGATCACTTCTTCCAATGGCCCCCCCCTCCCCCCCTGAGCCCTTAAAAATGGTTGTAGGGCCGTTCTGTCATTTTGACGGGCTGGCTTCTACCATGGCGGGCGTGGCGGGCATGGCGGGCTCAGGACCTGCAAGCGAGAATCAGCTTCTTGGCCAAGACTCAGAAAGGAGCCAAGGAGCATTCCACCCTGTTCCATGGATGCCCCATGAGCTGAGTGGCACCTGCCGCAGTGAAATCGAGGTGCGGTGAAAGCTGGACATCCAGAGGAGGCTTTGTTCGCTTTTGCCCACGAGCTGGAGAACTCAAACGATCCTTGGATTCAGAGATTCGAGCGAATCGCGCCCGAAAGGCCTTTGCCATGTTTTTCTGAGATGCCCTGCGAAGTTTTTGGTGAAGCGGTGGGTCTGCGAAGTTTTTGGTGAAGCGGTGGGTCTGCGAAGTGTTTGGTGAAGCGGTGGGTCTGCAAAGTTTTTGGTGAAGCGGTGGGTCTGCGAAGCTTTTGGTGAAGCGGTGGGTCTGCGAAGCTTTTGGTGAAGCGGTGGGTCTGCGAAGTTTTTGGTGAAGCGGTGGGTCTGCGAAGTTTTTGGTGAAGCGGTGGGTCTGCGAAGTTTTTGGTGAAGCGGTGGGTCTGCGAAGTTTTTGGTGAAGCGGTGGGTCTGCGAAGTTTTTGGTGAAGCGGTGGGCTGAGAACTTCAAGGTGCGCTCAGATTGTCCATGGCCATGCCCCATCAGCCAGCTCAAGCAGCGTCCTCCCATTGCCAAGGAGCGGTGCAGAACCGCGGCCCTGGTGCAGGCCCTGAAAAACCTGCAGAATTTGGAGAAGGAATCTTTGTCCACAGTAGCTTTGACTTGAATGGGCTGTCATGTTCCATCTGGCACGAAAAGGCCCACTGGGAGTTTGTAACAGAGAGGGCATGGACTTCTCATTTGATTACGTGACAGTGCCAGGGAAAAGCAGGCTTTGAAAGGCTGAGCCCTTCGCATCCAGAACCAAGCAGAGCAGTTCAAACGCAAGTTGTGGAGAGCGGCGGGGTAGAACTGGGGCGCAGCTGGCGTCTTGAGTTGCTGGGGGGGCCGGGGTTTGCAAAAAACAAGTCGCTTGTTTTGTCACCTGGTAGGTTCCATTGGTCCATTTTTGGAGGTCCAAACACCTTTTCCAAGGCCACTTGCGACCAGCAGGGGCTGCTCCAGCTGATGAAAAGCGCCGAGCTGAGCCACTGCTCAGTGCGGCGGCACGCGCTGGACGCAGCGCATCTCGGCTGCAGCTTACTGGGGCATCTCGAAATTCGAAAACTCACTTCCTGAGTTCCTGGACTGTAGTCATTTTTTGGGGGAAGACCATTTGGCGATAAATGAAGAGTTCAGACGGTTTTTGGCCAGTCCCCTGTTTTTCTTGCTGGTGCTCAGCAGGGAATGTGGAAATGAGCCTTATAAACCATCCCGTGTTGTTTCCTTTAAGCGGACCTGAGTTCATTCTCACCTTCAACACCTATCGCACCAGCAAGTTACTCCTGCATCTTGAAATTCTAAAAGCTGGTTGGATCCTTTTGGTTGGGGATATCATCTTAGCCCCGTGCCACTACAGAGCTTGAAGGCAATTCTCAATGAGGCCTGTAGCGAGAGACCTTTGCTGGATTGCTGGGCCATTGGGGCCACTGGCGCCGGCCAAGCTGGCACCAAAAGGTAGAAGTGCAGTAGAATTGGATATCATAGGAGGAGATCTTTAGGTCGATAGCCGTTGGGGTGCTGAAGTTGTTGTTTTTGTGATGTTGCTGGTGTTTCTGGTGCTTTCGTTGGTATCGCTCCCAAGGCCTGTCAAAGCATTTGGCGTTGAGGCTTTGGCTGGGGGACTTTTCCTCAGCTCCAGGAGTCGCGTGTTGCTTCCCGTACGTTGTCAGCACGGTCAACGCGCGCGCACGCCCAGAAGCCAGACCAGACTCCCCTGTAGCCCAACGAAAGTGGATTCCAAACCTAGGGAGGTACGCAAGTTGATGCCAGTAGAAGCGCGAATCACCACCGAACCGTTCAAGTATGCCGCGCACATAAGATATAGAGCACATGGCCCACAGCCTAGCCCGACCGTCCAGCCGCTATGCTCTTTGCAGACTGCTGGGTTGAGTTGCCCGGCCCTTGGGGCCTAAGCTGAGCCAACTTGTTTGCATGGCAGGCATCATGCCGAACTTGGCGCGTGCGCATTTGTCAGATCGCCATTTGGCGGCCAGTCTCGCCGTGATGTTTGGCATAAGACTTTACTATGTTAATGTTGCACATGAACAAATCCTGTTCATGGTGACGCGTGCTTGCCCCTGCTTGGAAGATCAGCACGCTTTCTGTGTCTCCAAGCTGGCGTGCAGGGCGTTGCTCCCTCCAAACCCCGCAACGTACGTTTGGAGCCGCGTGCCAAGCAGCCAAACAAAAATTACGCAATGGATTGCCAATCCACGGCCGTTAAAGCAAACTGCTAGGCCGTAAGCTGGGGTCACCCTGTGCTTCCCGGCACGGCATCGGTGGACCATGCTTGTGGACAGTGTGAAGTGTGACTTTCTGTGCAACCATGACAACCGCCTTAGTGACAAGGGTCTGTCCTTCTTTGAGGGTACCGCTGTGTTTGGTTGATTGACTTGAAGTAAAAAGGGCAACGGGTCCTCTAAAGAAAGACAACCCATGAACTAGTCATGGGAATGACAATAGGACTACTTTCCAAGCAAGCTCGCAATCAAAAGCTACGGTCGTTGCGTGCTTAGCACCTGAGAACCGCAGCCTCAGCTCTGACGGGGTAAACCTATTTACGCCTTGATCGGAGGTCAATTGCAAACCCCCTTTTAGAACTGAAGCGGCAAGGGGAGACATCTGAGTGTTTCTCAGGTGGACCCCATTTTGATTGGTATTGAAAGGGAAAAGAACAAGAACCGCTTCATTCTTTCTTTCTTTTTTGGGGGGGGGGGCGGGGGGAACTGATTCCCCAAAAGGGTTGCCCTCCCAAGAAGCCATACCCATAAGACTTTTCTTCGGGTTTGTCTTTCAGACAAGTTTCGTCCTCAACCGACCAGCGGATTCCCTCATTCAAGGGCCCAATCCTGCGCTTGGTTTGTTCAAGCGATCGAAATCTGGGTGTTCGCATGAAGGAGGGATTGGGCAATGCCTTACTTGCAAACCCAGCACCTTGCTTGCCAAGCATTTTGCAAGCCAACGTGGCAGCTCTTGTGATTTGGGTATGGGTCAAATGTTTTCACCACCAGGGGACCACAGGTTTTAGTCATTTTTACATTTACCAGGGTGCCATTTTGGGTACCTATTTTTGACCCACTGCCATTTGGAACAACGAGGGGAACCCTCCCTTCAATCTGAATGTCAGTAGAGCCGAGGTGTGTCCAAACCGACCAGCTGGATGGGGCGCTGACTGCAAGGCTTGGAATCACTGAAGCTAGCGGCTGACGCAGACACACACATGCACATACACACACACACTTTTGCGAAGGTGTGAGGGGTTTTGGGGCACTGCGCACTGCTGAGCAAATCTGGTCTCGACACATCTGCACAAACACTAAAGAGGGACCAAGTAGAGAATCAAGAGGACCTCAGTCTCACTGTAAACAACATTTGTGTCTTGGTTGGAACGGGTGATGCTTGATGATATTCAGTCATCAAAATTGGCAGTGTTGCTTGATCAAGTTGATCAAACCATGCGGCCTGGCGGCTGCTCGCGGCATGGCTGAGGCGCCGGTTGCGCTGCAAGACCCGGATTTCGCTTCCTTCCGAGCGGCCTGCGCCTCTGCAGCATAGAAGAAGGTGTGCATGTGTGATGCTTTGCGTTCATTTGCTTTGCTTTTAAGCAAATCTGAATCCCACCTTTTCAGGCAAGCCATTTGCCGGATTCTCCCGGGGGGGGCCATGCACGCAAGTGCTGTGATGCAGGCAGCCGAGCGCACCCCGGATTTTGCTCGTAAAATTGAAGCGACTTTGTACCGCGTCGGAAGACTGCACACTCACTCGCCTGTTTTCCATCACCAGCGCAGCATCATATTGTTGTTTGCACGCCAGATTGCAGGCCACAGCATCATCAACGCAAAGCAGAGCCACTTCAAAATATAATCAATACAAAAACTATGGCGGGTTGCTGAGGATGGAATTATCTTCTGCAAAGCGCGCCAATCACACAGTCATAAAAGGCCCACAAAACAGAGGTCTCATCTACCCATTATCAAAGGAAACAGATGCTTGCAGATCCGAAAGCATTTGTTTTCTAGAAACGCTCTGGCGCCCAAGCAGCCTTCCTCCAGAATTCGGGGTGAGCCTGGCACGTTCCACTGCATCATCGTCTGGGTTCCCACGCGCTGTTTGTCCTCGGTTTTGTAGATGTTGTTGCTTTCCGGTATGCCCGACTCGCATCCGCAGATGTTTGCTTTTGACCCGGTTGGTTTGCTTGCAGGGTTTCCCGTTGGCCCTGGCACCGAGGGATTTCGGCATTCCAACTTGGAAAGGCCATGGCGTTTGCCGATGCAAGATACGTGGGCTCAGGCTGCCGGGCGCTTGCCAAGCCAGATGGATGCACCGCCAATGCCAGGTGCGACTGTTGGTCAGTGTGGTGGTTCAATAGCAGGAGCCTGAATTGTGTCCCTTGTTGTTGATGCACGGTGAAGGATAGCATGCCGTGGATTTGATTGACCGTATTATGTTCATAGACAGATAGGTCGACTTATTTATAATTTATAGACATGCAGATTGGCTGGCACACAGATAGATGTACAGATAGACGCACAGAAGGATAGACAATGCAGTGATTAATTGACGTTACTGATTGGTTAGATAATAGCTAGCCACACAGGGAAGCAAACTTGGTGGCAAATGAATAAAAATGGATAGACAGATAGACGAGACACGTAGACAAGTAGATAGACAGTCAGAAAAATACACGAATGGATCGATACATAGATAAATACCGGTGACAGGTAGATAGATCTTCCGATGCCCCTGACAGATGGATAGGTGAGGTTGGGTGAAATGAGATTATACATTATATATGACATATGTGTGCCTATGTGTGTATGCACATACCT